TTTTTTTTTTTTTTAAGATTGAGTGGTACGCTAATAAGAGAGAGTTTGACATTAGAGGCAATTTATGTTTTATATACAGATTTCAAGACATTTGCTAATTTTGTGGTTTCATGTGATTAGTTTCCAAAGTTTACAGATAAAGAAATCAGAAATGGTACCTTTTTAAGAACTGCATATATTTTTAGACACAACTATTAGCACCTTAAGAGGGAAGCAAAAAATTACTGTCTATTTAAAACTTTAAGCAGTTACTCCTACATTAACTCCCTCATTACCTAAACTGGCGCCCTGGAACAGCCTTATAAGGGGGGGGGCATCATATTGAAAGGAAAATGTTGCTGGACTATTGACAAAGTAAATTTAGATAAAATCAAAATAGTTTTTTCCTTATGGGCATTTGTTTTATTATATTATTAGGTATTGTGTTGCTATCCTTAGATACAGATGCTTAGCTCTTTAAAAAATTTTTAAAAATTTCTATGTGAAGTGTCGAGTATTTGAAATAGCCTGTTTCACTTTAACAGTCTTGTCTACCTTCCTTAGTCTTCAAAGAACAGCCATTTGCTACCAAAATAAATCAGTATCTTGAATGTGCTTTTCTTAGTTTTTGTTTATTAGCTAGTTCCTGTAAGCATTTCCACCAGAACTTGAGGCAAACTGTAAGGAAGCTGTTTCTTTTAAAATATAAACCACTAGGGCCGGGGATTTAGCTCAGCGGTTCTGCCACCTTACTTGCAAGCACAAGTTTGATCCCCAATACAAAAAAAAAATATTGTGTTGCTATCCTTAGATACAGATGCTTAGCTCTTTAAAAAATTTTTAAAAATTTCTATGTGAAGTGTCGAGTATTTGAAATAGCCTGTTTCACTTTAACAGTCTTGTCTACCTTCCTTAGTCTTCAAAGAACAGCCATTTGCTACCAAAATAAATCAGTATCTTGAATGTGCTTTTCTTAGTTTTTGTTTATTAGCTAGTTCCTGTAAGCATTTCCACCAGAACTTGAGGCAAACTGTAAGGAAGCTGTTTCTTTTAAAATATAAACCACTAGGGCCGGGGATTTAGCTCAGCGGTTCTGCCACCTTACTTGCAAGCACAAGTTTGATCCCCAAAAAAAAAAAAAAAAAAAAAAATCACTACCAAAAATCTAAATGTACATACTGTTTAAGTATTTGGCTGGTTTTTATTTTTTAAAAGGTATAAACACACACAAAAATTTTTAACATTGTAGAAGATGGAAAACAATAAGCATTTTCTGTAACTTTGCCTACATATTTACATTACTAAGTTGTTGAATCCAATTTGAATTGAACTCACTCCAGGATTAGAACAATTATATTGTTTAAGTGTATACATACTGCCCACTGGCCTCTCAAAAACATGTTGTACGTACTGAAAATGAAAGAAAATGCAGCTTAAAACACATTTTATGGAATTGTTCATCACATATACTATTAGATTTCTGTACTGAGGGTGTTGCATTTTGTATTTTTGTATTGTATATGAACTTTTTAAATGTGACAGTTAAACACATCTTTGAAAGCATAGTCAAAAAGAAAAATGACAAAAGAAAAATGATACAGTGATTTCCTTCAGAATTCCTACAATGTTAAATTTGGAGGTAGCTTCAGACCATTTTATTGGTGGTGGTTACTTGCTGATCTTTTTTAATAGGCAGTAACTCCAGAGAAGAAACTTGCACATGTGTCTCATAAGTTGTTCTTTTGAAGTTTAGATTAAGCCCGAGTAAAACAATGAAAATGTAGATAGAACTACTAGTTTTTACATGATTTAATTACATCAAGATATATGAATTTAACTTTAACTTACTTTTATGTAGGCAAATTCTTCATTTTTGTCCATTTTACTGTTTGTTAAAATAACATCCCTCTCCTACATACTCTTTTCTTGACCCAAATGAAATACAAATCTAAGGTCAAGATACAGAGAGAAACAACTGAGATGAATGTCTTTATTAAAATAACCAATAAATTTTGTACAACTAAAAAAAGTCTCCTGGAATATAAAGAATAGTAGTAGTGATTGAATCATGCTGCTGTAAAATTTATTATTGATATGCCAAATTTTAGTGAATGTGGTCCTCATTGTATGTGCACTACAAAGAAACATATAAAGCTTGGTAAATATCTAAATAAAAACAAAACGTGCTTATGAAAGAAATAATAATAGAAAAAAAGAAAAAGATTTCAACTTAGTTCTCCATGAACAAAATATCCAACTCCTGTTTTCATGGAGAATCTGGAATTTAAGATTGCAAATGAGCAGAGAACACAGCAGAATTGACCTCCGTGGATGTGAATACTGGACTAGTCTTCCTTATCCAGATTGTTATCGGAACCCTGGGGAATGTTTCACTCCTCAGTCAGTATTTATTTCTCTACTTCAGTGGATGCAGGTCAAGGTCAATAGATTTGATCCTCAGGCACCTGACTGTGGCCAATCTCTTGGTCCTTCTCCCGAGGGGGATCCCAGAGACCATGGCAGCGTTTGGAGTGGAGCACTTCCTCAGTGATTTTGGAAGCAAACTTGTTTTCTATGTTCATAGAGTGGGTAGGGCTGTGACCATTGGTAATACCTGCCTCTTGGGAGTCTTCCAGGCCACCAGAATTAGCTCTAAGTGTTCTAGGTGGGCGGCGCTTAAAGTAAAAGCTCAGAAGTACGTGAGCGCATGCACTGTGCACTGGAGGGTCCTGCACTTACTGTTGAATATCACTTTTCCTGCAAGTGTGACTGCCAAATGGAAAAACACAAACATCACCAAGGAAGCAGACTTTGCCTACTGTTCTGCTAGAGGTTACGAGAAATTCTTACCAGTAACTGTCGTACTCTTCTCCATGCCTGATGCTCTGTGTTTGGTACTCGTGCTCTGGGCCAGCGTCTCCATGGTTTTCATCCTACACAGGCACAAGCAGCAGGTCCAACACATCCACAGGACCAATGTCTCTTCCACATCCTCCTGTGAGACCAAAGCCATCTACAGCATCCTCATCCTGGTGTGCACATATATAAATTTTTATACCATCTCCTGCTTCATCCAAGTGTTTGGCTGTTTTTCATAATCATCACTCCTTATTCAGAATTGCTGCCTTCATTAATGCTTGTTTCCCAACTCTTTGCCCTTTTTTGTTCATGAGCCGAGATCACAGTCTATTCAGAACCTGTGGCTGCTATTGTGAAAACAGTACACGGCCACCCAACTTCATGAGAAAAAAATACACATTGTCTGTTTTCTCCTGTCTTTTGCAATTCTCTTGCTCAGTCCCCATCAAATTCTGCAAAATTCATAGGACTCAGGCTCAGTTCTGCAGCCTGCCTCACAAGTGTTTCCTTCCTGACTTCACTTCTTGAAGGCACCATTGAGCCAGTTTTCTTCCTGCACCACCTCTGATGTTTTTACCTTGAAGTCTTAAACGCTTCCTGGTTACTGAAGCCTTTATAAACATTAGATGTAAGACATTCATAGTCCATCAGCTGGGTGAGACCATCTCTTTATGAAAGGCATTTATGTATCAGAAGCAGAGTTAAGCTCCCAGTAAAATTTTCCTCTGTGGGGCTGCATCTCTCAACGTGGAAGAACAATTCAAACGCTTTCCAGAAAACAAATCTAAGGGAAACCTGCACATGAACCAAACAAAGATCTAAATATCAGCTTCAAAACTTTGCACGTTAAATAGGAGAGGGCATTTGGGATACGCTCTGAATAGAGCTTCCCTGCTCTAATTTACTTATTTAGTACTGGGGCAAGGCGGGCGCAGGGCCACTGAGCTGAGTTCTCGTCCCCGAGCTTCCCCGCTCTTGATTGTTAGGTTTGAGGTCTTTTGCACAGCCCGCCCCTCACTGGCTGTCCCTTGCTGTCTCTGACTCCTTCACTTCCATGTTCCGGTGTCCTAGTTGCTGTCTCTTGGGAGACAATGCTCAAGGTAAATGCATTCCGTGATGGTCCTGTCCTGTTCTGCAGACTGGGGAGCCTCTGGGTTTTCTTCCCTGAGATTTGTGCCTTTCCTCTGGGTGCGCTGGAAGGAAGGACTATAAGTTGCACAGGGACCCAGCAGGACGGCACACAGGAAGTGTCAGGGTGTGTCACGGAAGGCTAGTGGACCCATGCCTGCCAGCATTGACCAATTTCTTCATTTTTTCTGAAATGAAGTTTCAATGATAATTATTTCCTTGTCAAATTATTTACATTTTTGAATTTGCTAACTCATGTTATAATTTTATTTGCTTTTATTAACTTATTATGCTTAGCCTTTTATTCCAATTCCTGTTATTCTAGCATAGTGAAAAGTGTTGTGTGGGTCTTCAGATGTTCCAGTATCTGTGAACACGTGTCTGTGTGTGTGTGTGTGCATACAAAGGTGTCACTGCATACGTGTGCCAGTGGGTGGATCTGCTTGGCCATTTGGGCTTGTACTGAGCTCTTCCCCTTAGTCCCTGCAACCAGGACCTTGTGTTGTCCTCCTGGGAATCCTTTACAAGGAGAAGAGGTTGATTGATCCACTATCAGGTTGTATGAAAAACATTAATTTTAGATGTTTCTGATATCTGAACTTTTATTTACACACTGTAGATTAAATGAATATTTAATAAAACATTAAAATGTATCTTTTGATAGCCTTATTAAAACTGAAAGAGGAGATCTTTAAGAGGAGACGACAGAATACGAAGGAGGCAGAAAGGAGAGAGGGGAAAAGGAGTTGGGAACCTAGAAAAGATGGGAGCAAGAAACACTAAGTTGTGTGAATGTCAGAAGAAGAGAAGCAGGAAGACATGGAGTCAGAGGAAGAAGGAAGAAGAGGACTAAGAAACAGTCACAAATCAGAGGAAGAGATGGGAGGCATGATTGAGAGCCAGCAACAAGACAGTGGTGCGTGTGTGTGTGCACGTGATGCAAGGGTCAAAAAGAAAAAGGGTTGAGTGTACAGAAGATGGAAAAATCAACCAGTGTGCGGACACCCAAACAGGAAAATTGGAAGAAGACCACAAATAAGGACTAACTACAGTCTTTTGGAGTGAAACGGAGAAGTCTGAGAGCAGCAGGAAGACATGCTGGGGAAGAGACAGATGAAAAGGAAGTGAGGATATATAAAGTGCTCTCCCACATAGCAAACGTTGAATTGTCTTATTAATCCAGTCACACTTAACTGCTACCTGTTCTGTACGTTTTCTATATATCATGGCAAACGTTTGGCCTGCCTGGGATGCAGTAAGTGTAGAGAAATTGTTGTTAGCCACACATAAAATATATAACATATTCATTGTTGCTGAGTAACAAAATTTCCTCAAAAATATTTTTTAATATTTAAAAAAGTATGGCAAGTGGTCTGTGAGCTGCAAGTTGGACAACGCTCACTAAACCACATCATCGACATACATGTTTCGGTTGGCTTCTTTCAGTGTTTTCGAAAATAGGATCTCCAATTGTGTAGCTCGTGACACTTACGTTGGGATCTCTAATCACTGGTAGGTGACCCTGGTGACAGTGACTTTCTATTTAATTCAAATGTTTGGGAGTTTTCCTTCTATAATCACACTTGCTCCTGCCTCACAGTCCAAGTCCCACCTAACTATGAATCTACTTGGATAGTTTTCCTTTATCAGTAACATACATTTCCTGCCTGTTTCTTTGCAATATTTTTCTATTTATCTTTAGAAATGAGGAATCACAAGAGGCAATACGTATGCAAACTACCTTTTCCCATCACTGTCTAGAACTCAGTAATTCTGAAAAAAAAAAACCAGCTGTGATTATACAATAGCATTTTTAAAAACTGTGATGAGATAAACAATTTTTTTACCCTTTGACCAGTTAAAACACAAGGCTAAGTGGCGTGAAATACATTCACAGTGGATTCTGTGGTGTATGCCGGTGGCACGGTGGGATGTACCCTGAGAGGGCCCAGCTGCAGGGTGCAGCTTATGGGACACCCTGGGGGGGCGAGGGCCTGGATCTGCCCCAGGTGCACTCAGCACGCAGAGCAGAGGCTCAGCACACGAGCTATGGTTTAGTGTTCGCCAAGCAGCCTGCCCAAGGGCCGGTTAGAGCACACCCGGGAGTGTCTAAATGTGTTTCTTGTGCAAATGGAGGGCTACGGAGAGGTGGAGATTAGGGAGAAGTAAAAAGAATTGAGATGTATAATGTACTTGCACCAAACCTCGCGAGGAATGTAATCATTATGTACTGTGGACTTGCACTAATACAATTACAAATTGCAAAATCGATAAAATTCAAAAACGTATTGAGTAAAAGACGCATTGCCTTAATAGCCCTCTTAGAACGCACACATCCCCTCGACCTCTCGGCATCCTGAAGCAGCTCTGGAGTCCTCTTCCCTAAGTGTCTTTAGCTGCGCTGTCCGGGCTGCCTCCATGCCTTAAATCGTTTCAAAATGTTCCCCTCGTACGGTCACTTTGACTTTGGGGAGGAGCCTGAAGCCGCAAGGCGCCAAATCCCGAGAGTAGGGTGGATGAGGACACTGCGCCTGTTTAGGAGCTGCCTTGGCGCCAGCGGGCGCTGGGCAGTAGCAATCACCGTTTTCCATCCGCTGAGATCAGAGCAGGCCCAGAAGCACGGATTCTCCTGGGTCAGAAACTACGGCGGGCGCCTTTTCGGGACGAACCCTCGGCCCCTCCACTCCGGACTCCCTCCTTGCAGCCCGCACGGCTGCCTGCGAGCTGCACTCGCTTCCACCGCCAGCGGAGGGCGCCTCGGCTCTGCTGCAGGAGTCTCCACCTCTAAGTAAAATTGAAGCGATCCCTTCCAAGGGAGATTCAGGCATGGTAGCACAAGCCTGTGACACCAACGTTCTGGGAGGCTGAAGCAGGAGGATCACAAATTCCAGCTCAGGCTGGGCAAATTAGTAACCTAGTGAGGTCTGGTCTCAAAATAACAATTAACATTTAAATTTTAAAAAAAGATGTGGATGTGGCTCAGCGCGAACAATCGCCAGACAGACGGACAGACTGACACACACACACACACCCGACTCCCCCAGTCCAAGGAATCCACCCATAGGCGCCCCAGAAAGGTCGGAGGCGTTTCCCAGCACGCACGGCGTGGCCAGGGGGTCTTTTCTCGCGCTGGTGGGACATGGGCTGCCCCTCGCGGCGCTGCAGCAGCAATAGGCACTGCGTTACCCAGAAACGTTTCGGGAGGCAGAGGCGAGAGAATCGGCAGTACTTGGAGGACAGCCTGGGATACATAGCGAGTTCAAGGACAGCGTGAACTATAGAGACGCAAACGAGGGGGCGGGCGAGGGAGTACCCAGAAACGCTTGCGGCGACGCCGTGCGTAGCTCTCTGGGCGACCCTGGGCGGGGCCTCGCGTGCGGGCGTCACGTTGGGGCGGGACTTCCGGCTTCCTTCGGGCGGTCATTTTGGCCGCCTCTGCTGTCTGACCAGTAAGCTGCTCCTCTGGTGTCCCGCGCTGAGACGCAGTGACTGACCAGGGCCTGTGTGGGCGACTCCGCATGCCCGGGACGGTGGTGGTCGCCCCAGGCTCCCCAGAGTCAATGGCAGCGGCTGCGCTGACGGACCCGGCCCAGGTGAGTGCCGCTTCTCCTCCGGTGGTCGCCGCGGACCGACCCCAGCTGCGGGGACACTGAGGAGTGAGTGGCCTCCAGGTTCCCGGGACCGGGCCATGAACACGCGAGCCGAGTTGGGCTTGTGAGTCCCTGAAAGCCGCTCGGCGGAGGAGGGGGCGGGAACAGTGACGTGGGGTCTTTACACTCGCTTTCACGGCCCCACAGCTGCTAGAGGTCAGTTACTCTGGGCCCCGAGGCACAAGGCTGGACAGTCGACTCGGGCTCTGGGGCCGTGCTGGGGTCAGGGAGCACACCGTGGCCACAGGCCTCCCTGGTCTGGCTGTTCCCGCAGGTTCCCAAGCCTGCCGAGGTGCTGCGGGACCTGCTCAGGTAAGTGGAAGGCGTCCCACTCTCCCACTGCTTCAGGCCGCCTCCCATATTTTCTTCAGATTTCTGGTAACTCTAGGCTGGGGCCCTGGAGAATCACCCAGATTAGGGCCATCAAAGAAAGCTTGTCACAAGCATGCAGATTCCGGCCTACAAAATTTCTTGAAAGTGAGTGTTTAGGAACCTGTGGTCCTTTTCTTTGGCAAAGAATTGCAGACAAGAGGAGACAGGAGGCAGTCTGGGACTGAGTGCCTGTGAGATTAGGCCTCTATTGTGGAGGTAGTGAGAGTTTGGGATCAGAGGAGGGAGGTTATCTTCTCCACGTGTTGATAGGTTCTGAGTGGAAAACAGTGTGTATGAACAGAGAGGTGGTACTAATGACATCAGACTCTGGTATCTGCTCGGGTGTGGGGAGCTTGGGAGGAAGATGGTCATGAGAGTGGATATGTGGGACATAGATTGTGGATCTTTCAGAGCAACAGTGGTCATGATTTCAACAGTCTTTGTCTTGCCAGGGTAGTGTCACCTTTGAAGACGTGGCTGTGTACTTCTCTTGGGAGGAGTGGGATCTTCTTGATGAGGCCCAGAGACACTTGTACCTTGACGTGATGCTGGAGAACTTGGCACTTACATCCTCTCTGCGTAAGTCTTGTAGCCCATTCCTGTTCTCTGGGTTAGAGTCTGCCTTTCTCCTTCTCCTTGGGAGCAGCTTTGTCCTGAGAGCTGGACCATAGGCACTGTTGTTTTTCCCGGTTTCCTAGTAGGTGCTGTGGACTGGGAGCATGCTTGCTGCCCTCGCATCACAGCACCTGCATGCAAAAGTGGAATTGCTGGATGATATAGTAATTCTATTTGTAATTATTTTTGGGAGCAGCCATACTTTTATTTCACTGCATCATGTAGTACTTTTTTTTTTTTTAAACCAGTAATGCATCAAGGTTCCAGTTTGTCCACAGCCTTGTCAACACGTATTTTGTATTATTATGGTAATTGCCATCTAAACTGGTGTAAGGTAATATTTCATTGTGGTTATGGTTTACATTTCCTTGTAAATTAGTGATATTGAGTGAGATGAACTAATCGACCTTTTGTTATGTTTTCAGAAAATTTCTATTCCAGTCCCTGGGTTGTTTTTTAATTCAGGTTATTATTGACTTTTAGGAATTCTCTATATGTTTTGAATCAGTTGTGCTCCAGATCAAAGCTATGTGATTTGAAAATGTTTGCTCTGTTCTGTGGGCTGCCTTTTTATTGATAGTGTCCTTTTATGTACATGATTTTTGTTTTGATAAAATCCAGTTTGTGTGTTTTCTTTTTTTGCCTTTGCATCATTTCGAAGGAATCCTTATAAATCCCATATCATATGTTTTTACTCTATTTTCTTTTAGAGTTTTATAGTTTTAGCTTCAACTGTTAGATCTTTGATCTGTTTTTTTGTTTGTTTGGTTTGGTTTGATTTGATTGAGATTGAGTTTTTCTGTGTTAAGACAGGGTTCACCTCTGTGGCCTAAGCTGATCTTGGGCTGAAAGTGATCATCCTCCACGTGTTGTAAGAATGCACCACCATGTCCAGCTTGGTCCATTTTGAGATAATTACTGTATATGAGGTCAGATTAAGTTCCAATTTTATTCTTTTACATGTAGATAGTCAGTTTTTCTAGCCTTATGTATTAGATGGTATGCCCTTTTAGTCTTGGCCCCCTTTGTTGAAAATTATTGGCCAGACATTTGAGAGTTTATGTTTGGACTCCATTCCATCATTGTCTTTATGGAAGTACAACACTTAATTGCCATAATTTTGCAATAAGTTTTGATCTTGTTCAAGATCATTTTAGCTATTCAGTGACTCTTGAATATGAATTTTCGGATGTTTTCTGTTTTCCAAAAAAGGAAAAAATATTATTCAGGTTTTGATGGATATTTCATTCAGTCTGTAGATCACTTCGGGGTACTATAAACATCTTAATATTAACATGGGATATCTCCCTATATATTTGTTTGCGGTATTTGTTAGCTATAATTGTTTTTTGGTCCAATCTTTAGGGTTTTCTACACATGTTACATGTGAACAGAAATAATTTTGCTTTTTTGTTTTTTTTTTTTGGCCATTTTGATCTATTTTCTTTTTCTTCCCTAATTACCATGACTAGATCTCAAAAACTATTTGGAATGGATGCAGGCAATCTTGTCTTGTTTTTGCTCTTCCAGGAAGTTTTTGTCTTTCAACATTTTGTGTAATTGTAGCTGTGGGTTCTTTTCTGTGACTTTTTTTTAAATGTTAAGTTCATTTCTGTATACCTGGTTTGCGTAGAGGTTGCCTCATTGCAAAGATGTTGAAAGTCTAGTGGTTTTGTACATCAGTTGAGGTGATCATGTGCGTTTTTCCCCTTGCCTTTTCTTTTGATTGATTTTCTTAGGTTGAAGCATCCATGTATTGCAGGAGCAAATTGTTTGGTCAGTGTATAATCCCTTTAATATGCTCCATAATTCAGATATTTGGTAATATTTTGTGGATAATTTTTCTTCTCTCTCTTTTTTTTTTTTTTTTTTTTTTTTTTTGGTATGGGGGATTGAACTCGAGTCCTTGTGCTTGTGAGACAGGCAGTGGAACCACTGAGCTAAATCCCCGGCTGTGGATAATTTTTATATCAGTCAACAAGGATTGTGCTTTTTCTGTTTTGAAATCAAAATATTCTTGGCCTTATACAATATAGTTAGAATTCTTGCCACAGTTTGGGTGTTTGCTTAAATTCATCAGTGACGCCACCAGATCCAAGGATTTTCTTTGTTGGTCAGTTTTTTTCCATTACTGGTTCAGTTTTCCCACTATTTATTAATGTTTTTAGGTTTTCTATTTCTTCATGACTCAGTCTTGGTAGGTTTGTATAACTGGGAATTTGCCTGTTCTTTCTGTTATAGAGTCACTTTGTGTTTCTGTGGAATTGGTAGGAATTCCCCCCACTTTAATTTATGTAAAGGTTCATCAATTTTAGTGACCATTTCAAAGAACCACTTTTCAATTTCATTGATTTTTCTGTATTGTTTTCTCTATTGTACTTTTGGCTTATTTTTTTTCTTTTTTTAAAATTAGTTTTGTGTTTAATTATTTTTAGGTCTTTAAGGTGTAAAGATAGACTGATGAATGAAGATCTTCCTTTTTTGATATGTTTACAGCATGTATTTCCCCAAACATTGCTTTTGCTGCATCCCAAAAGTTTAGTTATATTGTGCTTTTATTTTTATTCAACTGTATTTTCTAATTTCCCTTATTTCTTTGCCTATTAAAGATCATGATGCTTGATTTCTGCATATTTGTAAATTTTATTTTTCTTCTCTCACTTCCAACTTTTACTCCATTGTAGTTAGAGAGTATACTTTGATGTAAAAAAAAATGAGGATTAATAGGTGTCCTTACATGGTCAATCTTGAATGTCTTAGGTACACTTGAAAGCTATGTATATATTGCTGTAGTGGGGTGGCGTACTCTCTTTATATTTATTGGTTTACTTGGTTTATTGTATTATTTAGTTCCTTTATTTTCTCGCTCTTCTCTCTGGTTGGTCTGTCTGTTACTAAGATTGGGGTGTTACTATCTCTAGTTGTGATTGTAGAGCAATTACGATTGTATGTTTTTCTCCCTTCAGTTCATTCATTTTTTTTCTTTGTATGTTTTGATTATATTAATTGGGTAAATAAAGCAATGTCCATCTTTATGTCTTGTAATCTTTTTTGATTTAAAGTCTGTATTGTCTGATATTAATATAGCCATCCTTGCTGTCTTTAGGTTACTATTTAAATTGAATGTCTTTCTCTAAGCTGTCATTTTCAACTTATTTGTTTCTTTTAATCTAAAGTGATAGTTGGATCATGGTTGTTTTCTTTTTGTTTTTTAACCCATTCTGCTAATGTGTGTAGAGTTTAATCCATTTACATTTAGAATAATCACTAGTAAGGAGAGACTGACTCCTGTTATCTTGCTATTTGTTTTCTGTATGCTTTATAGCTTTTGTTTATCTCTAATTTCTTACATTGCTACTTTTGTGTCCAGTTCATTTTTTTTCACAGCAAAAAATTCTAATCCCTTGTCATTTACTTTGTGAACTTTTTTTTTGTAGTTACCATGGGAATTATATTTTGCATCCTATTTTTAATGCTCTAATTTGAATCTATACCAGCTTGACTCCTAACATTTTCCTGTGTATTGTTGAGAGCTGAGTCGTTCTGGGCCAATGTTAGCTGCTCTTATGGTCTGTCCTTCCCTGAGGATTTGCACTATGCTGGTCCAGTTCCTCAATGGGGACCAGGAGAAGACACCTCCATGCTTCCACAGGATGTTCATGACTCCATCCGTAAAAAGATGGATTCAGAGAGATCCTGGCCAACAGGATGGCAGGACATTTGGACTGTTTTCAACTAGGAACCTGTGATTTTGACCAGTGTTTTGATGTCATTAGCAGTTGCAATTCACTATTACTTTCTCTTCTCTGTTCTTGACAGTTTATCCACTTGTCATTTCTGCTTCTTGTCATTTTTATTTTTACTTCCACCCCAGGGCAAATCCCTACCTGTCTGTAATCTGTATCTTGTGTATTCCTCGCGCAGCTTTCTCTGTTTGTTTTATAATACTGTGTCCTGAAGTATACATATATCCTCTAATAGTTCCTGAACACCAGTTACTGTTTAAGTCACATTTTTTCTGGGTCTTCATTTGTAGTTCATAGCATCACATGTCACCAGCTGATACAGTCCAGCTAAAACCAGTTAATAAGGAAATGAGTTGTAGAAAAAGCCTTTTACCCTGGACCATTCCTCCTCTTTATATCTTGAGTCTGGGAAGGCCTGCTCTCCTCTGTGACCTTAAGGGCCTTGTATTGTAGAACAGCTGCTTCCACAACCAAAGCCCAACTTCCTTTTCCTGAAAACAATCCCATGCACTGGCTCTTTCCTGTACCAGATTGTGTGTGTGTGTGTGTGTGTGTGTGTGTGTGTGTGTGTGTGTGTGTTTTATAGAGAGCAGTTCACTGTGGCCCATAAGTCAATGTGAATAGACTTTCTTGAGCATGGAGATAATAGAAAAATCTCCATAAACAGTCAGGGAGATATTGAGTTGGCCTCATGGATTTGGCCTGTACTTATATATAGAGAGAGTATTATAACATCAGGTGGTGTTATGGTAACCACATCTTCAAGTTATCAGTACAATAATGAAAAATATTAATTTTGCAGTTAAAAACGTTAAGCTATTTAGTTTTTATCTGACAGTTGTTTATAAATTATGGAATAAAGGGATATTTTAGAAAATTCAAGTAAGACAGTGAATTCCTATCGTCAGTGAACTATAAAATAAAAGTTACATTGACATCTGGTGATTATGTACAAAAGAACATAGGTTTTACCAAATCTGGCCATCTTTTCTTTTCACAAATTTCACTCCTTTTCTGATAGGCTTGGCTAAACTCTTCACCAAGAATATCAATATCATCTTCTGTTTTAAAAACTCCTTTAGGGAGATATCCTAGTAATTTATAGCATATTCTTGGAGAAGTTTTAGCCTGTCTTCAATAATCGCACTGATACATCCTTGTCTTTGCTGCAACTGCCATTCTTCAAGTTCATGTTGCTTGTCTGCAAGAAACTGGTTACAACACTCTTCAGTAAGTTTTTCCCTGCCCTTCTGTGTTCCAGTTGCTTCATTCTTTGTTTCTGAGCATTCATTAATTCTGTCCCATCTTCTTCAGCAAGTTTAGCTAGCATAGTTTTTCTAAAGACCTCCTCTTCTTTTTTTAGCCTGTTGTACTAGTTCTTTCAAGGCCATTTGTTCCTCAAAATCTTACCTCTTTTTGCTTTCTCAGTTTCTCTTCTGCTTCTTTTATTTTCCTCTTATAAACTTAGGCTGCTTCTTCCTGGTATAATTCTTGTCGAACTTGTTCCAAATCTTCATGCTGTCGCAGCATTTCTTCCAATTTCTGAGTCAGCTTATTTGCAGCTGTAGTTGTTTCCCCTCAACTTCTTGAACTTTTGCCATCCTTTCTTCTCTTTGCTGCTGCATATTGGCAAATTCTATGATTTTCTTGTTTCCTCTTCCATCTCCTCAAGTTTCTTTTTTTTCCACAGAGCCTGCTCTTTCTGGAACTCTTAAGTGCACTACCAAATTGCAGTGTACTTCCAAATTTTTTCTAAATTTTGTTCCCTCTCTAATTGATCTTCATATATTTTCCTAACGGTTTCGTCATTTGTAAATTTTTTTTTCAGCAACTGCTTATAAGTTTCCTGCTTTCTTTTTTCTTGTTTTTCAAGTTGTTTCTCTAAGTCAAGATAGTATTGCGTCTTCTCTTTGTTTTGTTTGTCCTCTAGAGCATTCTTCTCCTTTATTACTCTCTTGTGCTCTTCCATCATGGTTTTGATTATTTCAGCATCATGTCTCATTTGCTCACATTTAGTGGCATCCTTTTCAGCAATCTGGGCTGCCCTCACTTTATTCATGTGACTCTTAATTTCTTCTCTAGCTCTCTGAACTCAATACTGTTTTCTCTTTCTGCCTCATTTTTTCATCTTTTAGATTTTCATGTTAGTCTTGCCAATTCTGCAGCCAATTTTTCTTCTTGTTCAAGCTGGAGTTTCCTTAATCTCTTGTTTTTTACTGTTTTTCTGGATGGCTTCTTCCATATCTAACTCAAACTGCTCATCCTGTGATAATGTAAGGAGTCTATTGTACTGAACATATTCATCATTTTAATTCTGCACGGTTTTGTTTCTGCTGGGTATAGTGCTGCATGCCTGTAATCCCAGCACTTAGGAGGCAGAGGCAGGAGGATCACCACAAGTTCGAGGCCAGCCTGGCCTACATAATGAGTTCACGGCCAGCCTGAACTACAAAGGGAGACCCTGCCTCGACAACCGCCCCCCAAAAAAGTTTTATTCCTGACTTGATTCTCCATCTTTTTAGTGCTTCCATATGCAATTTTTTGCAGTAGTTTTCTTTTTTGTTTGTTTGTTTGGTACCAGGGATCAAACTCTGTACCTTGTACTTGTGTGACAGGCAACGGAACCACTGAGCTAAATCCCTGGTCCATTTTGCAATAGTTTCGATTTACTAATTTTTGATGCCTTTCACTAAAGCTCATAATTCTCGTCTTGGAAACCATCTTGGCTGACAAAAAGTTAGGTTCCTCCATTCAGGTTCCCTAAGCAACTAACTTCCTCAGATGTGTTTTTGTGGTCATGCTGACCCGTCCTAGTAAAGGCAATGTGTACTTCATCCTTACTTTTTTCCTTTCAGGTTGTTCATGTGGAATGGAGCATGAAGTGGCACCTTCTGAGCTGGGCCTTTCTGTGAGGTCATCACAGGTTAGGACTCCCAAAGAAGGGTCATTTTTCCAGAATGCCTATACTTGTGAAATTTGTGGCCTGATTTTGAGAGACATTCTGCACTTGGCTCAGCACTATGGAACATATTGTGGGAAAAAACCATACACCTGTGGGAAACAATTCTACTTCACTGCTAATCTTCCCCAGCCCCAAAGGCAATACATTAAAGAGACACCTGTTGGAAGCTTTGTGGACAGAACCTCATTTATAAAGAGCTGCATGTTCCATGTGTCAGGGAAGCCTTTTACTTGCAAGGAAGTTGGGAGGGGCTTCCTGGCCAGCATGGGATTTCCCTGTCCACAAATCACTCACATAGTGGAGAAACCAAGTAACTACCAGGTGGTCTTTCACAGTGGGAAAAATCATCATACCTTGGAAGGATGCAAAAAAACCTTCAGCCACTCAAACACACTGGTTCAGGACCAGAGAGTCCTTACCAGGAAAAGGCTTTTTGAGTGCAGCAAGTGTGGGAAAGCCTGTACACGAAGATGTAATCTCATTCAACACCAGAAAGTCCACAGTGAAGACAGGCCTTATGAATGCAGTGAGTGTGGAAAATTCTTTACCTATTATTCCAGCTTCATTATCCATCAGAGAGTTCACACGGGAGAAAGGCCTTATGAGTGTGATGAATGTGGGAAATCCTTCAGTCAGATCTACAGTCTCAACAGCCATAGAAAAGTTCACACTGGAGAAAGGCCTTATGAATGTGGGGAATGTGGGAAATTTTTTAGCCAAAGGTCCAACCTCATTCAACATCAGAGAGTTCACACTGGAGAAAGACCTTATGAATGCAGTGAATGTGGGAAATCTTTTAGCCAGAACTTTAGCCTCATTTACCACCAAAGAGTACACACTGGAGAAAGGCCTCATGAGTGCAGTGAGTGTGGGAAATCCTTTAGCCGAAGTTCCAGCCTCATTCACCACCGAAGACTTCACACTGGAGAGAGGCCATATGAATGCAGTAAGTGTGGGAAGTCCTTTAAGCAAAGCTCTAGCTTCAGTTCACATCGGAAAGTCCACACAGGGGAAAGGCCTTATGTGTGTGGAGAATGTGGGAAAACTTTTAGCCATAGCTCCAACCTTAGGAACCACCAGAGAGTTCACACTGGGGAAAGGCCTATTAAGTGCAAAGAATGTGGAAAATCCTTTAGCTGCAAATCTAATCTCATTAAACACCTGAGGGTTCACACTGGAGAAAGGCCTTACGAGTGCAGTGAATGTGGGAAGTCCTTTAGTCAAAGTTCTAGCCTCATTCAACACCGGAGAATTCACACTGGAAAAAGACCTTATCAGTGTAGTAAATGTGGAAAGTCCTTTGGCTCCAAATCTGTCCTCACTCAACACCAAAGAGTTCACACTGGAGAAAGACCTTAGGTATGTATGGAACCCACATTCTTTGTACTGTCATTACACTGGAATGTAATGACCACCTGGGAGCCATCCACCTGAATTGAGCCCTCAAGATCTGAAGATGTGGTGAGAGTCCCCTTTAGTTCTAGGTCCATAGAAGCTTTAAGCAGCTGTGTTAAACTTTGTAACCTGTGCAAGGGCCTATGTCACTGTTTTGAGGCAGAGGCTATTTCACTTCTCCACTTACAAGTCTACATGGTGCATCTGTCACCACCCCAGCGTGTACAGAGGAGCTGGCTCCTCCTTCCCATTTGCTGGATGAAATCATGAGAAGTCTGAGCCCTCCTTCCTGTTCTGCAAGTTAGGTCATGAACTTGACCTAGGTAGTACTAGAGATACAGGTAAGTAAATGTGTTTGGGCAGCTTGTCAAGAAGAACTCTTCTGACGGATTTTTTCCAACCTCTAAGTCACCAACCTGGAAACTACCTGCCTGTACTGTTTTGATTTTTTGTAATAAAGTCTTCATTATTTAAGTTACTTTAGTCTTGGAATTGTGTTCACTGTGTGAGATATCTTCAAAACAGTAAACACCTTTGTGTGTGTGTGCAGGGGGATGTAATTCAGATAATTTGGTACCTCAGAGACAGGAGTAATATGAGAGTGTAACTCTTCCCTGATTTGGCCTCTAGGCTTCCTAAGTTGTGGATTGAATGCCAGAACTTCTTGTCTCAGGGAACACATTGAGGAGGCAGGAAGTAGTAAGAACCTCTATTGTTTCTGGGAACAAGACATATAAGGTTTAGATTTCTTTTTCTTTTTCTTTTTTTCCTTGTGTCTTGTTTTCTTTGCTTGTTGCTTACACAAGATGCACATAGTGCCCTGCACCATAGAGTACAGTGTCTACCCTAGGTTATGCAAAGGAGTCAGGTGCCTGGATACCCATGATTCAGTAAGCTTATAATACTTCAAGATTATGGGAGCCAGAGAGAATCTTAATAGGTACAAAAATAGTGGATTAATGAGGAGTGATGGAGACATCAGCAAGGTACATGCACCTTGTTCCTTGTAAAAATGTTCAAGTAATTGTGTTGGATATGCACAAAGATTCTCATGGTTTGCAGGGAGGTATATCTGGTCTATAGCTGAGGTCATTGTCAGAAAAAAAAACTGGAAGTTCCGTGTATTCATTCCAGTATATTTTGGAATCTTTTACGGGTTGGAAACAAACCTAGAGAGAAGGAAGATGGATTACTCTAATGAAGTGGCTTTGTGGCCTAATGATCATCCTATGTGGAAGTGAACTGCATTACTCACTAATACTTGCTACCACTGAGGCAAGTTTGCCCCTGCAAGGTTATCAGGAAAGAAATGGAGTGAATTCTGGGTTACCAAACCTTCCAGTAAGCCACTAGACCATCATTGTAATTATTACAGTTAGCATACTGGTCACTTCTAGTTTACCTTGTCCCCTTTTTTAACCTCTTCCATCCTTTACCTTCAAATATCTATTCATTTTCTTTCACTTATATAATAGATTTTATTTTCTAGAATTTTGTATGACTTAAGGCAAAATTTTTTTCTAGTTTCATTTATGATACATAACAGATTGTTTCAATGCTTGTATGAGTTGCTCCTGGTTTTTATTATCGAGTAGACCATTTTCTATGGGTTTAACATTTGTTTAACCATATGTTTATGAACATTTAGGTTATTTTGTGTTAATGACTCAAAGTGCAATTCCTGAGACACAGGATAAGAGGATGTTTAACGTAAGAAACTCCTATGCCTAACTGAATCTAAGTGGTTGTTTGCTTTTGCCTAAGATTATGAAAATTGCATTTCTTCTCCTTTGCCAATAACTGGTCTATTTTTTACAAGTGTGCAGTAGTTTTAGCTGCATTTTTGTACTGATTTTTGATGTTGGACTTCTCATGGCCAGTTTCAGACTATCAAAATAGTATCACTGAATGGAGTTGGAAGAGTTGTAGGAAACATAGCATTCTGTTTTCACCATTGTTATCCAGCAATGCAAGTAAACTGTAGAACTTAGAGTTGCAATGCAGTAAATTGACTTAGAAAGTACAAATTTTGAATATTTGCTATAAAATAGTTTAATAAAGGTATAATTGCAAATGCAGGGCCAGGGAATTAGCTCAGTGGTTCTGCTGCCTGCCTCACAAACACAAGGTCCTGAGTTCAATCCCCAGGACCCCCCCACAAAGTGCATATACTGCCCATGTTTAAAATATCATTTTGATGTTTTTACCCTTGAAATTTTTAATTTAAAATGAAAGACAACCTATAAGTTGAATATGTGGATAAATTATTCATTTAAATATGTCAATAGGTCAAGAAACAAACAGGCAAGACATTTGAAATACCAGAAGTTTTTGCAAAGAGAATCAGCTGCCTTCCTCACAAAGCATCAGGTAGAATGATCAGTGGATATTTCCTTGCAGATAAGGCTAAGAAAGTATGGTGTGCAGTTGTACAGCAGAGTGACTATAGATAGCGATTGTGTTATGCATATAAAAAAGAAAGTGTTTAGACTGTTTTTGCCTTTTCAGTAGTAAATGTTAGAGAAGATACTTAAGTTTAACTTGATGTGCTGCATATGCATGTATCAGACAACATGATACCCCATTATATGTACAATTTTTATGTTTTTAATGTTAAAAATTAATAAAAAGTGACATTGGAGTGAGATGAAAGTTGCTGACATTTTATTTTGAAATAGGAGTCAGATTCCATTTTCAGTATGAAATCTTAAATGATGGAAGAGCTATCAGTAATAAATAACAGTTCAGAGTTTGGTGTTCAAGGGATAATTTTAATAAATTTGAAATGTTCAGAGGTGCCATATTTATATATTAAAATACTGTTTCACTCTAGACCAGTGGGATAAACCTATGGCACATGTACCACAGTAGGGTGTTTGTATCATTGAAAGCTCTACAAGGCTCACCATCACTGCTAGGCGTTCTTTTTTTTCTTCTTTTTTTTTGGTACCAGGGATTGAACTCGGGACCTTGTGCTTGCAAGGCAGGTGGCAGCACCACTGAGCTAAATCCCTGGCTAGGCATTCTTAATACCGTCTGTATTTACCAGGACAATTGTTACCCCTAATTTCTAATACCACTTAGTGTACATACATTATAATTTATTGAGAATCACATTTCAGCTGACTGTATTTTAAATTTGGTAAATTCTGTAATAAAGCACAGATAGCACTAGTGTTTTGGAGAAGGAAATGGCTGCACGTTTTCTCCTCGTAGATAGAAGGCTGGATCTCAGGAGCGCATCTCCATGACATTGTTAGCTCGTGGAGTAGGAGGAATGGAAAAGACTGAAGCCTATTTAAAGTAATGGTCTTAATCCATACACAAGGGAGACTTTGTGATCTCATCACCTCCTAAAGGTTCCATTGTACCACTATTGCACTGGTTATTTGCAATGAATTTTTGAGTGGATATAAATATTGAAACCACAACAGCATCTAAGAAAAGCCTGGGAAAACTGCACAATGAACGTAAAACCTATAAGCAACCCTTTCTTGACTATATCTTTCCTTCTTTAGGGCAGAATAGGGCCCCAGTGCTCCTGGTTGTGTTGTACCAAACAACCCCTGGTATTGGAAAATTACCCTCATGCTCAGGTGGAAACCAAGACGTGTTTAGGACACAAAGGTTCTGACTTCCCCCAGACCTTGGTTTCACCTACAGATAAAGCTGTAGGCAGCATCCAGAATATAACTGTCCAGGAAAAGTATACTTTAAAGACAAAACAATGACTATTTTAGAAGAAAAAAGAATTCATCACCAGCACGCCTCTAACATCAAAAACATTAAAGGAAATATGAGGCAGAAACAAAGGGAAAAATAGAGCCAGACTGGATCTACTCAATGAAACCAAAGTGGAAGAAATAAGTTGTATGAGTAAATATAAAAGTACATTCACTACACATTTTCAAATAGCCTCATAAGGTAATTACAGCATAAATAGTAAAGAATTGTAAGGTTAGTGGTATGTATATATACTGCTATAAAATGTCCCAAAATCACAAAAAGATGGAACAGGGAAAGAATTATTGTGTTTTAAAATTCAAATAGTTTAACACTATTTGAGAGTAAAAGTATAATAAGCTCACAACTTTTTTGTATAATACTAGAGAACAAGGGGTACTCTACTACTGGTTGAGCCACATCCTTAGTCTTATTGAGATGGGGTCTCCGTGTCCCAGCCTGAACTCAGACTTGTGATCCTTCTGCTTCAGCCTACCTTAGTTCTGAAATTACAGACAAACCGCTATGCCCACTCCTAGCCCATTTTAAATCCAGCTAGATAGCTACATAGATACATTGATGGATGGGTAGATGACAGATAAAGATATTTATGCTTTATTAATCTTACAAGGTTGAGTATGTCTAATATATATCCTAGTGGAAATTATCAGGAATGAAAGGCTCAATTGACAAGTAAAAATTACTAATATAATTTACCACATTAATAGATTCTATAGTAGGATCATTTCACTGATGTATTAAAAGGAATTTATAAAATGCAAGTCAGTGTAAGATCAAAATTCTTATAAAATAGATTTTCTCAAACATATATCTGTGACAAACTTACAGCTAACAGGCTTAGTAGTAGAAATCTGAGAGTTACCCACTCATGCTAGGAATCAGGCCAGAGGCCACTCTTCCATATCTGCTTAATCGCTGTACATAAGTTCAAACCCATTGAACATAAGCAATACAAAGAGAAGAAGGTGGTGTACGAGGGATAAAATACTATATTTAAATAGGAAATAATTACAAAAGTCCTAATTTAGCTACTAAAAATCAGAGATTTAAGTTTAGCAGGGAAAAGGTCAATATACAGATTTTTCTGTTTCTATGTACTGCCAATAAACTTGGAAAATAAAACTCAAAATATAAGAATTATACTTTTAGGAATATCAACTGAAATATTTAGACATTTAAAAAAATACTCAAAATTATAAACAAGTTTCTACAATACCCAAAACACCTAAATAAATAGGGGAATATGTCTATCTTGACTCAAACAGCCCAATATCTTAAAATTTCAGTTCTTTCATAATTCCATTAAAATCATAACTATTTTCTGGAAATTAAATGAATTCTAAAGCATATAGAGAGATGCAAAAGATCTGGAATAATTCAAAACAAAAAATAGAATAAACCTAGGCTTTAAAAATCTGATTTCAAATTTTACTATAATGAAAGAGAAGCTGTTTAGGAAACAAAACCTTGGTTCGTGTAATAAAAATATAACAATGAAATTTCATATAAAATGAATTTATGCCAGACCTGGTGAGTTATACCTCTAATCCCAGCATCCTGGCAACCTGAGGCAGGAAGATCACAGGTTTGAGCCGAGTCAGTAATTCAATGACTAGGGAAGATCCTGCCTCAAAAATTAAAAAAAAAAAAAATTAAAAAGTACTTGGGATACAGCTCATTGTGAAGTCCCTGGGTTCATGCCCCAATAGTATTAAAATAAAAAAAGATGAATTTAGGGCTGGGAATTTAGCTCAGCGGTTCGGTGGCCTGACTCGCAAGCACAAGGACTGGAGTTCAATCCCCGGTACCCCCCCGCCAAAAAAGATGAATTTATGTGCACCAAGGGCCAAGCTAGACAAAAGATGGACTCTGGCTAACTAGTATACCTAGCCTTTCTCAAAAACTGCTAACACATCTGATGTTACTTAAGAAACATCCTGGGTTTCAGTGGCTGGGATACCACACTCTACTATCTTAATGGCATTATTTGTTGTATGGAATTTAGGATGTCTACCACAGTCACCCAACAGACAAAATGGCAGTTACAACCAACATGGCTGTGGTCAGGTCAAGTTGGATCCTGCACAGGACACGATTTCAGGATTCCAGTCAGCTCAAATCCGTTCTCTTTGAGCCTAAGATCCATGATACTGATTTCTCTGGGATAAAATGTCTCTCTCTCTCTAGAATCTCACCCAATTCTCAATTCAGCTGCATTTCCATAAAGTGCCACATTCTATTATATCAGAATAAATATTCCCTAATGATGGCTCTGACAGCACTGCTAGCACACACACACACACACACACACACACACACACACACACACACACACACATGCAAAAGCACTAAATTAGAGAAACTTGGGAATTTCCCTTCTAATTCAATAGTATAATGAAATTTAGAAAGATTCAATAAATTAAATTACTGATTTCACTTTATTCTCCATAGTCTCACTGTTACTTTCACTTTCAAGATCATAACCAGTGAAAAGCTGACCTTTGGAGTGGGAGCGTCCAGGGTCAACAGTGATGGCCTCCAACATTTTTCTTGTTCATTTCATTGATACCATTGAATTGTTATTGGTGTTTACCCTGATTGAAAACACCTCTCACGGGCCCTGACTCGTTATGTTATCCCCACCAGCATCTTCTTCACGTACTTCTCTAAGACCAGAAATA